CCGTCAACGCCGTGCTTACGGCTCAAATCCGGCAGTCGAAATACTCCGATCTCCTCTCACTCCATCGGTTCATTACTCTAGCAGGTATAGCTCCCAATGTCATTACCCACAATCTGATTTTCCAAACGTATCTTGATTGTAGGAAACCCGATACTGCTCTTGAACACTATAAGCAGCTGATAAATGATGCACCTTTTAACCCTTCCCCCACCACTTATAGGATTTTGATAAAAGGGTTGGTCGATAATGGGAAGTTGGACAAGGCTATGGAGTTAAAGGAGGAGATGACGGTTAAGGGTTTTGCACCAGACCCAGTTGTCTATAGTTATTTGATGTTGGGTCTTGCGAGGAATTCGGACCCTGATGGCATTTTTAAGCTGTATGAGGAATTGAAGGATAAGTTGAATGGGGTTGTGGAAGATGGGGTTGTCTATGGAAGCTTGATGAAGGGGTATTTCATGAGAGGGATGGAGAAGGAGGCAATGGAGTGTTACGAAGAGGCTGTGGGGGAGAATTCGAGGATCAAGATGAGTGCTGTTGCGTATAACTCAGTGCTGGATGCACTGAGTAAGAATGGGAAGTTTGATGAGGCTTTGAGTTTGTTTGATACGATGATAAAGGAGCATAACCCTCCTAGGCGGCTGACGGTGAACTTGGGAAGCTTCAATGTGATGGCTGATGGATATTGTGCTGAGGGCAGGTTTAAGGATGCTATTGAGGTTTTCAGGAAGATGGGTGATTACAGGTGCAGCCCTGATACAATGTCTTACAACAATTTGATTGATCAGCTCTGCAAGAACGGAATGCTGGCTGAAGCTGAGGAACTATATAGAGAAATGGGAGAGAAGGGGGTGAATCCAGATGAGTATACCGGTGGCATGTTGATGGATACTTGTTTCAAAGAGGGAAGACCAGATGATGGAGCAGAATATTTTAAAAAGATGGTTGATTCAGGGCTGAGGCCTAATTTGGCTGTTTATAATAGATTAGTTGATCAGTTGGTTAAATTGGGGAAGATTGATGAGGCAAAATCATTTTTTGATCTGATGATGCCGAAGCTAAAGATGGACGATGATAGTTACAAGTTCATCATAAAGACATTGAGTGAAGCAGGGAGACTAGACGACGTGCTTAAAATAGCTGATGGAATGTTGGATGATGAAAGCATTGAGTTTAGCGAGGAGCTGCAGGAATTTGTCAAAGTGGAATTAAGAAAGGATGGAAGAGAAGAAGAGTTAACAAAGCTAATGGAGGAGAAGGAAAGACTAAAGGCTGAGGCTAAAGCCAGAGAAGCTGAGGCAGCAGAAGCTGCCAAGAGGAGTGCTAGGGCTGCTGTCGCTTCATTGCTTCCTTCTAAATTGTTTGGGAACAAAGAATCGGAGACTGAGACTGCAGACCCATCTGGAAATGCTGTCGAAATGGCTGAAACTGAGAAGCAGGAGGGCGTGGAGGAAGCTGTCAATGTGCAAAAAACAGAAGCTACAAACAATGATGGAGCTGAGCAGGTAACAGCTTAAATGTTTTGATTGAGGAAAAAGGGGGGGGAGGGGGGGGGAATGCCCTATTGCAATCTCATCCTCTAATCAGCAATTAATTTATATGTAATCAGCAATCAATTTACGTGATCATGCTTCTATTACTTCATTTATCATCTCTGGAAATCAAACTCGATTTTGGTTTGAAGTCATTGGAAATTGGATGTTTCTACTCTTTGAGTAATTATCTGTATTTCCAATTGTAAAAGAAACCTGATGATGGTTGGATTTCTAGGCACACAGAGATATTTCAAACTGGTATAGGTTTTGGTTTTGAACAATTTTGAGTTTCCTCAACAGATTCAATTAAGATCTATTTCCAGTTTCAGACTTCATTGTTTGACCAATTTTGTTTAACCAGTTGCTTATGTATAAATGAAGTTAAAGTTTCTACTTTCTTATCAAAGAGAATGCTTGTCTGTTAACATCGATGTTGGTGGAACATCAATTTGTGAAGGCAACAATAATATTCTTCTTGTTGGGATGTCTTGTGTCTGCCTTTTAGAATTTTCATTCCCCAGTGATGACACCATTTTAGCCTCATTTTGGTCTTTGGTTTTTAATTTTCTCACTTTTTTTTTTAATAAAAAAATTCTTGAGCAATTAGCATTATATGTTAAAATATATTTTATCATTTGTAAAAAATGGATAGTTGGTTTAATTAATAGTTCATTTAAAATCTATTTTGAATTTAAAATTTACTAAAACTAGTGTAATTGTATAATGTTCGGTTTAATTAGCAATTTCTATCAAAACAGCAATTCATCAATCTGAAAAGACCTTATAACCAAAATAAACCTTAAAAAATAAAATGAGACGAGCAGCAAGATCTCTGTCAATTCTACCTTCATTGAACTTAAAGTTCCTTACTTGAGTATTGGCACCACATCCGTACATCATTTTAAGAAAACCCATGTCTGTCTATCTGTCTATTATACATATATATATCTATATACATCCACTTTTCATGTGTCCTCATACCATGCCCTGCTGCTTTTAAATCATGTAATCAAAACCCCACCTACACATCAAATAATGAGATTCAAATGAGAAGCACGTCTAAGAAATTATGGCCATAGTCCAATCTTCATTTGGAAACTTCATCTTCATTGTCATGCTACCAAACCAGTTCATTAGGGTTCAGCTGCTTATCATACAATTTATAGAAGTTTAGAGACATACAAACCCTTCTGAATTCTTACTTCCACATACCAGACAAAAAAGCTTGGTAAAGGTACAGCATATAGAATAAAAACTTGCCAAACAATTTGGTAATAATTCTGAAAATCATATCTCTCAGCTACAAAGGTTTGGTATGCACACACCCGCATCCGGATTCTGTTGTTCCTTCCATATCCTCCCTGTAACTCGCAGTTTCAGCTCCTTTCTGTCCCCACCAGAGAAGAAAAGTGCCATGTTTCTTTGAATGATGAGGCCATCGTGACTGTCCCTCACCTTCCGGTGACTATCTCTGATGCTCCGTGGAGTGCCCTCCCATATGAGTTTCCGGCCATTTGCTCCCACCTCTAGGCTGTAGCTGTAGTTCCGAGCCTCAATCTCGTCACCCATGAATCGAAGGAAAGCCATATAAACTGGGGCCATTCCGAGCTGGAAAGCTTCAAAGTGAAGACAGAAATATTGACCAAAACAATGGAAAACCTGAAAAGAGCAAAAACTCAGGTCAGAAGAAAGAGCATGCCAGCAGAACCTATGATTATCCATATATAAAATATAGTTCAAGTAGTAAGACTGTAAATTTGAGCAGGATTGAAATTTTAATTTAATGGAATAAAAAAGAAAATATAACTAGAGCTGTTTGAATTACGTATTAAATATGTAAAAAGGTCAAAATTCTATATATATTAAATGTAGGAACTGAATGAGAATATTTTGAGAATATAATATACACAATACAATTGCCACTTAAATTTAAGTAATGTAAACCAAAAAATGAACTATTCTTTGTTACGAACACTATCACAAACAAAATCATGGTACTCACCGTTAGCATCCATGTGGCATTCTCTACTTCACGAGGATTGGACTTTACATAACGATGGTTGAACGTGCATCCTGTGTGCATATCAACCTTATGATCATCCCTCAGATGAGCAACCAGGAAAGGGATATCCCCAACAACTGCACACTCTGACCCAGCATAAGGACAGTTATATGGTCTGAAGTTACAGACTGCCTCATGCTTCAGTTTGCTGTAATATGGAAATATCTCTGGGCATCCTAAGTTGTAATACTTGCATGGCAGTTCTAGTGATTCGGCAACCTTCTCCAGTGCTAAACACCTAATATCTCCGAGTTCCTGTCTACATGTAGGACACCGATTGTGCACCCTTGTTTTACAGGTAGAACACAGTGTGTGTCCGTTATGGCACTGCAAAAAAAATACTTGTTAAAATAGCAGGTCGTCTCTAAACCCTTGCCACTCACTAACTGACAGTTTATTCTGGAAATTCAATGGAAATTGTAATATGAAACAATCCAGAGAGAGAGAGGAACACAAAGGAGCAAGAGGGTCATGAGATGCAATTACTCCATGTTTATAACATGTAGCCAGAAAATGATTCAACAGAGAAAAAAAAACAACTCATTCTCTCATCAGAGCAAAGAAAAACCTTTACAGCATTGATTATTTGACAGCTTAAGAAATATAGGTCATGGATATACACCAATGAGAGCAAATTTCAGTTTTCTGCATTGTGCTTCTCTTCTAAGTTGCCCATCTTGAAAGGCATCCTAACCTTTTCTCTATTTCCACTCTTTAGTTCACAACACATTCCATTCTTTTTCTGAATTTTACTGATGTCCCACTTTTACTTTGCATCATTTTAAGAATCGGTTTTCCAAATGTTTGATCTTCAATCAATATTTCAGATTCTCTAACCCCATAATTTAAACCGTACCGAGGCAAGTCCGAAACAACTCTGTCGATTCGTAACAGGAAAAAAGACAAGTAACTCCCAAAACTTGGCATAAAGTTCTTTCAAAGGGGAAACGGTAACTCCATAATTACTTGGAAAAGAACTTCAATCAAACAAATCAGCAAGCCAAACAGACACTATACATGATTGTTCAATTACCTGCATTTCATTTAAGATGAAATATGCAATTCCTTGATCATAAACGTTAACAATAATAAATCAAACCCTAATTTCAAATTAACCCTAGAGGTCACCATGACAAAGGTCTGTACTTTGGGTGACATAATCAAATCAAATACTTTGAAAAATGAAACAATCTTCCAATTCCACTCAGTCCACCGAATCTAACCCAATTCAGCAAATTAGCCAGGAAGCACGAACTATACCCATGAACAAACAAAACCCTGTTCATACGCATATAACAAATCATCACCACCGACAAAATCCCAATTCAGAAATTCCACTAAAACCCAACAACACCCATCAAATTCATCAAATCAAAACCCACAAATCGAAGAAAGAGATAAAAAATAACCAATCATTAGAAAAACAGGTTTCAGACCTGATGAATTGGTGGGTACATTGAATTGGTGCAAACTGGGCATTCGAGCAATTCATGGACGCTCGTGGCCGGAGCAATCGCCGTCGGACCGGCGATATTGTTGACAGCGTTGGCGCTATTGTTGGTACCATTAGGAGGCTTCGGTGTGGCGAATTGATGATGGTGCAGATTATGGTGATGGATCTCGTCCTCATCGATACTACTTATGGATGAGACACACTCGACACTATCCAACTCCATGGAAAAAACACCAAGAGAAGAACAGATTTTGATTGGTACCCACTTATCAAAATCCCCAAAAATCTCAATATTCTTCGTAAATTACTCGTCTTTTCACTCTTCCTCTCTTGAATTTCTTCTTATTCTTCTTCTTCACCATTTATATTTAATAATGAGAAAGACTATTTCAGCCTCATTTTGGTTTATCTTGTATTTTTTTAAATACTTTTTTGTTACTTCAAACTATACTACTTATTAGTAATCTTAAAAATTCTGAAAAATTCTATTCATGTTAATTTGATTTTTTTTTTTGAACTTTTGAATTTGAATTTTAAATTTCATTTTAAAACTCTCCACCGTATTATCTTCTAAAAATATTTCATAATTTGTAAAAAAAGAATTGAAAATTATTCAATAAATGGTTTATTTAAAAGCTGTGTTGAATTAAAATTTTATATCTACTGATTGTATTGGCAAGAAAAAATTGCTCCTTTATCTTTCTCTCTGTCTAAAAGTATAATTTTTTGAGAATTCTTTTCGGAAAAAAATTCTCAAAACATACGGTATCTCTCTCCCGTAATAATACAAGGCCCCAGGAAACTTTTTAAGTATAGCTCTTTCCTATATATGTGTGTGTGTATATATATATAGACACACACACACAAACATATCCACTTTTCATGTGTCATCATACCATACCTGTTGCTTTTTAATCATGTAACCAAAACCCCACCCACTACATCAAATAATGAGATTCAAATGAGATGCAGTTCTAAGAAATTATAGCCATAGTCCAATCTTCATTTGGAAACTTTGTCTTCATTGTCATGCTACCAAACCAGTTCATTGAGGTTCAGCTGCTTATCATACAATTTTAAGAAGTTGAGAAGAAACATACAAAGCCTTCTGAATACTTACTTCCACATACAAGACAAAAAAACTTGGTGAAGGTACAGCACACAGAATAAAAACTTGCCAAACAATCTGGTAATAATCCTGAAAGTCATATCTCTCAGCTACAAAGGTTTGGTATGCACACACCCGCATCTGGGTTCTGTTGCTCCTTCCATATCCTACCTGTAACTCTCAGTTTCAGCTCCTTCCGGTCCCCGCCAGAAAAGAAAAGTGCCATGTTTCTTTGAATGATGAGACCATCGTGGCTATCCCTAACCTTGCGGTGACCATCCCGGATGCTTCGTGGGGTACCTTCCCATATGAGTTTTCTGCCATTTGCCCCAACCTCTAGGCTGTAGCTATAGTTCCGGGCCTCAACCTCATCACCCATGAATCGGAGGAAAGCCATATAAACTGGGGCCATTCCAAGCTGGAAGGCTTCAAAGTGAAGACAGAAATATTGACCAAAACAGTGGAAAACCTGAAAAGAGCAAAATTCAGGTTAAGGGAAAGAATATTCCAGCAGAGCCTATGATACACCCATATTCTACATATGCATAATGTAGTTTTTAAAAAGCTTCTTTGTAAGGATAAGTTTATAACTTATGAGAATATAACGTACATGTGGTATAAATTTGAATCATAATCGCATTTTAGAGTAGATCTAAGTTAATTCTATATCCAATTTAACGTTGTGATACCTCATTAGACAAGTGAGAGTAACAAATTCATTATTATTTAATTGAAGATACAAAGTACAATTATATATCAAATATTAAAATTAAAACTAAATATTATATATCAAATAATTAATATGAATGAAGATAAAAATTAATATGTATAAATTAAATGAATATAGAATAGAGAGGAACCAAATGCATCGTATGGATGACACTTACTATTACGAAACAAAACCATGACACTTACCGTTAGCATCCAAGTGGCGTTCTCTACTTCACGAGGATTGGATTTTACATATCGATGATTGAATGTGCATCCAGTGTGCATATCCACCTTGTGATCATCCCTCAGATGGGCAACCAGGAAAGGAATATCCCCAACAACTGCACACTCTGACCCAGCATAAGGACAACTGTACGGTCTGAAGTTACAGACAGCCTCATGCTTCAGTTTGCTGTAATATGGAAATATCTCTGGGCATCCTAAGTTGTAATACTTGCATGGCAGTTCAAGCGATTCGGCAACCTTCTCCAGTGCTAAACACCTAATATCTCCAAGTTCCTGTCTACATGTCGGACACCGATTATGCACCCTTGTTTTACAGGTAGAACATAGTGTGTGTCCATTATGGCACTGCAAAAAGCTACTAGTTAAAATAGCAGATCATTTTCAACCCTTTGCCACTCACTAACAACTATGATAGATTCCGGAGCTTCAATGGACAAATTAATTTGAAGTAACCCAGAGCAAGAAAGGAATACAAAGGAGCAAGAAGGTCAAGAAAAGTTATTACTTTATATTCATAACACATAGCAATAAAATAATTTGATAGATAAAGAAAATGGCTAATTCTCTCTTAAGAGGAAAAAAAAGCCCTAAACCAACTAAGAAAGATAAGTCATGGATATACACCAATAAGCATTCAAGTATTCATCCATGCAATTGGCCAAAGTTGTTGTTTGCCATTTTGGTGGGATCCTCTAGGTTTGTGGCCATACTAACACATGGAAACAAATACTTGCCTAAAAAGGACGCTAAGGCTGATGGGGAATCTTGAGCAAATTTCAGTTCCCTGCACTGTTCTTAGCATCTAAGATGTTCATCTTGGAAGACATCCTAACCTTTTTTCCTATCTCTGCTCTTCCTTGACGAAGCATTCTGTTCCTTTTTATGAATTGCCACTTTGCTTCATTTTAAGAATAATTTCTCATAAAATGCTTGAACTTCCAACCCACTAAACCCTGTAGTTTAAACTACATCAAAGTACTTTTTGAGAAGGTTTATACTGGTGGATCATATCTAGATTTCCAATGAAAAAAAAAAAAGAAACAAACTCTATAGTAATAATTTGGAAATATCGGAAAAAAAATAATAAATTCTCAATAAAAATGCAGCATGAATGAACTTCCAAGTGGAAGCAACTCCTAATTATTTCCTAAAATCTGCATGGAATCTCTTTTACAAGAAAACAGACACTACATAACACATGCAAGATTGTTCAATAACCTACACTTCATTTAAGAATAAATATGTTCACCATAAATGTTCACCATCACAAATCAAGTACTAATTTCAAATTAGCCTTTGAGACCACCATGGACAAGATCTTTCCAAAGGGTGACATAATCAAATCAATATTTTGAAAAGAGATGCAATCTTCTTTCACCCAATCCACCCATTCTAACCCAAGTCAGCAAATTAGTATCAGAACAAGAATAATACAAACACACGCAACAAATCATCATCATCTACATAAACCCTATTCAGAAATTCCACACAAACCTAATCATACCAATCAAGTTCAATAAATCAAACTCACAAAAGGGAGAAGAAATATCAATAAATATTCAAAGAAAAAAAGAAACAATCAATCAAGAGCACAACAAATTACAGACCTGATGAATTGGTGGATACATGGAATTGGTGCAAACAGGGCACTCGAGCAATTCATGGACGCTCGTAGCCGGAGCAATTGCCGTCGGGCCGGTGATATTGTTGACAGCGTTGGCACTATTGTTTGTACCATTATGAGGCTTCGATGTTGAGAATTGATGAAGGTGATGAGAGTGCGGATGGTGCAGATTATGGTGATGGATCTCATCCTCGTCGATGCTACTTATGGATGACACACACTCGACACTATCCAACTCCATTGAAAAACACCAAAGAAGAACGGATTTGATTGATAGACACTACGAATCCCCAAAAACCTCAAAATTCTTCGTCAATTTCTCCCCTTTCACTTTTCCTCTATCAAAAACCTTCTCTTCTCCTTCTACTTCTTCTCTCTGTATATCAACCCTTTTTGTACAAGGAGGAGGATTGTAACGAGAAAACGGAGAGAGAATTCGATTCCGAGGAAACAAACAGCCCCCCTCCTTCTCTTCCTCTCTCTCCCTCTCTCTCTCTCTCTCTCTCTCTCTCCAAAAGGATGTACCTTTCTTCGTTGTCTCTTTTTTCTCTTTTTCTCTGTCTCTCTCTGTACTTTCTCTCTCCAAGATTTCGTGAACAGAGAGAAAGAGAGAGACGAGGGTAGCCGTAGATGGTCAGAGTCTACCAAAGGGGTTGTATTTAAATCTGACGGTTGATGGATTTTCAAATTTGTTATTTTTGTTAACCTTAAAATAAAATTTAAAAAAAAAAACAGAAATACCTGAAAAAGAAAAACAATTTATTTTCGTATTCAAATAATTAGGTGTGTAATAAATCAGTGACCAACTACCCTGCTTCAAGATTAATTAATATTTTCAGATGAATTTCTTGAAGAACAAAAATTTCTACGTTAATTCTCATATTATTTTATATAAAAATTCAGCCAATATGATTACGGAAGTGAGATTATGAATTTTATCATCATATGATTAACTTGAAAATTTGCTTCTAAGTTAAGATCAATGATTAATTTAACGGCTAAGATCGTATCATGGGTATATATAATATATATGTATAGTTCATAACGAAAGTTTGATAACAAAGAATCCAACAATCATTGAAACTGGTTTGCAACTGTAATGGTTTGCTAACCATCTAACAACCAACCCTAGAAACATGATCATTCTCTCTTTTCCAGCAGACAATATATATATATATATATATGTGTGTGTGTGTGCGCGCTCAAACTGCAAACAGAATTCAAAAGCTCGCCTGCTTATATACTTAAAATCAATGGCGATGGTTCGGTTGGTTGATTGCTGCTGCGCAGAGTTGAATCGATCATACAGCTGATATTTTTTATTTTATCAAATTATAAATAAATTTACTATGTACATCAGACTACTAAAGTTACAAATCAAATTCACCATAAGATCACATGCTGGCTACGACTGATGGGAGCTCGGGCTCCACCTCCGGCTCCCCCTCGGAGATCTCCACAGCCGTCTGCAATAGGGTTTTCCGAAGTTAGTGGATGGAGATTGGCAAAGGTTGAGAAGTATTTTAGTAACCGGGTTAAGTAACAAACAAACCTCTGCGGCCTTTGGTTCGTGCTGTGAAAGGTATCGGTCCAATGCACCTTTCCCATACAGAATCTTGGCTCCCTGGAGACGTCCATTGAATTCAAGAGCTTCTTCATTGACAACAACAGCATCAATTATGCCATCTCCTGTTCTATCATCAGGAATCTGCAGAGAAACCGATCAAAAGTATTTTTTTATTCAATTTCGTGAATCAATAAACAGAGAGGATTTCGTGGAAGAGTGAATCTTGTCTAATCATGTAACTAATCCATAAGATTGTTACAGACACATAAAGGAATTTACCTCATACATAGCATCCATCAAGATATTCTCCAATATGGACCGTAAGCCCCGGGCCCCTGTATTTTTCGATATGGCTCTTCTAGCAATTAATCTTAGCGCCTTTTCTGTGAAATGCAGCTTGACCTGGGAAATCCAGAAGTCAGTGCAAGAACAATGCTATTCTAAATATACATAGTATACGAACAGGAGGAGCCTGTTAATGGAGATGTCCAATCAAATTGATTCTGAACATCCAACAAAAAGGGCAAAACATAATAAGATTATTAGATAAGTCCGAGGAAAGAACTTACGCCATTCATCTGGAACATCTTCTTATATTGCTTACCCAAGGCATTTTTGGGCTCGGTCAGCACCTACAGGATAATGGTGGCAGTTAATATCGAGATTAATAATGCTTGATGAAAAAGCAAAACCTCAGAAATTTAATCAATTGGCTGATAACACCAAACAAATAATTCCCACTTAGCATGTTTCTATTGAGAACAAATAAAGCCTGATAAATCTGTTTGCCCCTTTAAGAAACAATATGTATGTATGGGAAATAAAGAGGTCGGAATAAAGTAAGCTAATCATAAAACAACATTCTTATGGAAATTAATTATCTAAAATTCAGATCGACACCTGAACTAGTTGGTCTTCAGTTAAAGCTGACAAACTGACAAGAACAGGAAATCTTCCAACAAACTCGGGAATCAAACCATATGAAACAAGGTCACTACTCTCAACCTGTCAGAAGGGGAAAGTTCATAAACTTTGAGCAAATAACAACCAACAATTACATAAACTGTTTTTTCCCATTAATGTGCGTACAGTCTCCATTAAGGATGAAGCAACAGCAGCATCTGTAACACCACCCGCTCTCATGTTTGCACGTACTGGGGCACCAAATCCGATCGAAGAGTCTTGACGCCTGGAACAGATTTAAAATATTGAGCAATAGAAAGAGGAATATTGGCAATATACACTACTTGAGGACATACAATTAACCTTTCTGAGATTGTCTTCTCTATGTCAATAAAAGCACCCCCACATATGAAGAGTATGTCTTTCGTGTCAATCTGTTGAAGAAAACATACGGATGAAAACAACAGAAAGAATAATGGAAAACAAGAATCAAATATCCAAAGAACGAGAGATCTTGCAGAAGTCAGCCAACCACATAAATAATGCCTTAACTACGGTAAACTCCTGATCAGATCTTTCCCACAAAAGCACAAAAAGCAAGAAGAGAAACAAGGCACACATTCATCGTGTGCCTGAATAATCAACATATCTGCAAAAAGTATGAATCTACGAAAAAGAATCACAGACCTGAATATTTTCACCTCTGGGATGCTTCCTAGCTCCTTTCTCGGGAACATTGACAATCTAAATAAAGGGGGAGAAAAAGTTAACACAGATGAGACATATGAAAAGCAATTACTATCTAATCCAAATAAAGGACTATTGTTTTTGATTAATGAATAATTGACTAATTGACCTCCAATGAAGTAATGGAAATTTATTTGACTGGATTAATTCAAAACTGAAGGTTTGTATTGGACAAACAAAATTTACAAAGACAAAATTTTGCGTTCATGCACTTACTGTTCCTTCTAGCATTTTTAATAATGCCTGTTGAACACCCTCTCCCGAGACATCTCTACTGATGTTAAGGCTCTCAGCCTGCAAATCAAAGTGAAGGACATAGAAAATTGTTAGTGAAAGAATGAATTTTCAAATTGAAAGAAAAGAGAAAAAGATGAGTTAGGTCGACCTTTTTAGTAATCTTGTCAACTTCATCGATGTAAACAATGCCCTGCTGTGCAGCTGCAACATTGTAGTCAGCAACCTGAAATATATATTTGAAAAAGAAAAATAGGATACTTAGTTTAATTAGTACATGCTTATAGAACCCATTTCCCACAGCAATGAGTTCATGTTTGATTTTACAACTACAGCAGACACTTGTAGGCTTCACTGCAAGCAATGTCATACAATCCTAAATACCATGGAAACCACAATAGCACCTTTAACTTTCTCGTGTATTTAAAAGTCAAATTATAATGACTTATGAAGCAGAAAAGAAAAAGATCAAATACATATAAATAAAAAGTTGAAGTTATGTAGGCTCCATGTGTACTACTGAAAGATGCCACAAAATTCAAACAGATAATAGCATGTATATTAAGACGGCCTTCAAAAACTTTACCATGAGTAGCTTGTATAATATGGATTCCACATCTTCTCCCACGTACCCTGCCTGTAAATAGTCATTGCCATAGCCAAAAAACACATATGTGAGTCACACTCTTTGCTCAGCATATTATCAGAGGAAACATTTTCTTTGACAAGTCTAGATGTTATTAAAGGGTAAAGTAATTGTAGAAAATATTAACTCTTCCTTCATAAGAGGAAACTGAAAAGAAGCTATCAACTCTTTTGCTTTTGATTTGCTTAACTTGGAAAGAAAAAGGAGATCTTCATGTCAATGTAAGGACTGCCCCCACTAAGTTAAGGGAGTGCATGGAGATGCTAATGTGATTGGATTCCATAACTGGAAGAAGGGACTACTTGAAAACGAAACAAAACATGAGGCTGACACGGACTTCCAGATAAAGTTTCGTTTTGATTTGATATTTGTCTTTACCGTTTGATAGAAAGCAAACTCTTGAGGTCCTAAAGTGATTGTTGCACATCCTATGGAGTGAGTGCAGATGATCTTAGATTAGTTATTTATGTAATTTTGAAAATGATATTACTCCTTAATGTGTGGGGGACCGTAACTACCTTATCTTTAATGTGCATCTACTCAAAAAATTTTATTTCAAATGCTGGCAAAGGGGCTGGCGAAAGACTTCTGTTCACAGGAATGACGTGCATAGAACTTACCTGAGTCAATGTGGTTGCATCGGCTATGACAAAAGGAACATTTACAAACCGTGCCAAGGTTTTAGCAAGTAGTGTCTTCCCTGTCCTTGAAATAACATCAAAACAGAACAGCTGAGAGACAGTAACGTGGTTATAATCAATCAAATCAAACCACAACTTTATTGAAGCTTATGCCATAATGTGCATCGGAAAGTAAACAAGCAAACCCAGGAATCTTTTACATGGCAACCTAAAAGAGAAAAACAATAAAATTTTACATCTTCTCATCTGCCAACAAACTGAATGAACAAATTCTAACAGTAAAATGAAGATTCTTCCTAATTTTTTGGAGAAGAAAATATAGTTGAAAGGGCACCAATGGTGGCACCTTCCATACACAAAAGATTTCCAAATTTCCCAACCAGAAAAGATCTAATAGATCAACAGAATCACAATCATCACAGATGAGGCATATGCAGAGTTCTAAACCAATGATCATGTATATGAGCAAAGGGGAAGGACCAAGTTTTAAAATTCAGCATGACCCAGAAAATAGCAGGGATGATGGATAAGAACTTTTCTTAGAGCTTGAAGCCAGTTCCCATTCCAAGCACGTAGCCCATCTTTTATGGAGTCACTAACTACTGACCAATATTAAGGAGATTGAGTTCTCAACCCATGACCAATATGAATGCAAAGTTCCTTTGTGACCCTCATAACTTCTTCATTGTAGCTCCACTCAATGCCTCATTGCATAGGGAACCTCAAAGTGGCTCTACTGCACTATAATTATATTCCATCCATTACCCAATTCCATTCATTTAGTATCCTTTTGGTCTCACTGACATATGAGATGTCATTTTTAGCCTATCTCTTCTATTTCTATATATGGAAAGTTAAAAAGTTATCATATAATACTCCAGCCAGACTTGCAGAGCCCTCTAGCTTGAGGAACCAAAGCATAAAAATATTCTTCCCAATAAAATGCCTTTGACATTAAAGGTAGCAGCTGGTAGAATAAAGATCTGGATTATATGTTTATCAAACCACAATAAAGAAGGACTAAGGACAAAATTAACATATCCAGATAAGACCAATGTTACAGCAGTAACTGCAACATCTAAAGATGAGAGAGGGTCGTATGCAATCTGAGAAATAAAATCCATCTCTAGTTATACAGAATCTTGCTGGAAATAGACTTATTGTTATAATTAGAAAAAATTACTCCCTTGGAAGAGTTAGGATTTAATAGTTTTTTTTTTTAGATAAGAGTTAGGATCTAATAGGGATGGTCTCAATTCAGCTTTAACAGTAAATTTTTTTTAAAAAAGCAACATTGTAAAAAAGAAAATAAGTAATTACCTGAGCCTGTTGGCCCCATCAAGAGAATGTTACTTTTCTCCAGTTCCACCATATCATCATCTATTCCTTCCGCTGTGTTTCCATCAGAACTGCCTGCCGGCCTAACTTCCCAAGTGATGTGAACAAGTTAGTAATAGAAACTTTTAACAGAACAGACAATCAATGTTGGCACATTACCATGCCCACAAATATATAGGCACATTAACTAGTACTCACACTTGCACATCAAGCATGCAATCAACAAGTACCAAAGCATCCTCCATTAACAAATACCAATTTAACAATCAAACATATAACTAAGCATAAAGAGAATGACTAGATATTGTCAATATTTGCTCCTATGATAAAAGAGAATTAACATGGAACAGATATTTTCTTTACTTCTCTAAACCTTGGATGCAATCAGAGTACATATGAATCATCGATTCAGATGAGGCATTGTCACCGATGTCAACCAATGTGTACTGCAGCTTTCTTGTTTCCAGAGATATGCATAGCAACAGAATATAGGGAACAGACCAAAACAAGGTGTAGATATATTTCCAAGGCAGTGACCTAACCGTTTCTGGGACTCATGATAGATCCTCTTATAATGATTGTAAACTGCAACAGAAAGCACCTGCATTAAAGAGAAAATTAAAAAAAAAAAAGACAAATTTCCTTACGTGAGCAAACCCAAGTGAAGCCATAATTTAAAGAAATCAAGAATTTTTGTAAGAAATTTACAGATGTCAACATTAATGATCCAAATAACATAGATAATTGAATCCTATAAATAACAGGCAACCAGGAGATTGTACTGGTACTGATCAGGAGATTATAACAGGCAATTCTTGCTTTAATGATTATCAAATGAAAAACCACAACAGAGCAAGTTTTCCCTCATCTTACTCTGTTCAAACAAGGTTACAGAAGATGAAGTGGCAAAAAGTTCAATTGAGACAAAAGATTTTTTCCAATCATAAACAAAAAGGCCAAAGGCATTAATCATGCAACAAACAGAATAAAACAAACATTGCAGAGGTTAAAAACACTACATAATATATTTGCATTTGTGAACGAAACACCTTCATGCCCAAGCAAAGAAAACAGGAAACAAAGGCTTAAAATTCAAACCATGATAAATTCATCTTCATTTGCAAAAATTAAAGCGTTCACATGCCTAAAATATATATGCAAGTGCTAGCCAAAAAAATGCAACACGAACAAATTATCATAAAAGTTTAACCTTTTTTGCTCTCTCCTGTCCAATGACAAACTTGTCCAGCCCCTTACAAATCTCCTTTGGAGTCGGAAAATTATGCCCTAAATTGGATCCACCCCAACACCCATCCTTCGAATTCGACCCAAACCCACCACCCGACCCGGAGGTTGCTCCTCCTCCCCCGCCGCCACCTCCCCCACGGCCCAAATTCGACCCGGTAACCCGAACCGCAATCCCGTCCTCCGGAGGCTGCCATACCTCCGGTGGGTCCCCATATGAGCTCACTAGGGCACACCCACTTCCCAATTTCTCACTCCACTCCTTATTAAAACCCTTGCTCGAATTCCAGGTATGCTTCCCGTTATCGAGAAGTTGAGTACCCTTTTCGACAAGGTCTCCGCGAAGCGACACTGGCTTAAATGACGTGAAATGGTAGGACGAATTGACGAAATGATCGTCCCGTTTGTTAGTCTGCGCAGCACAGTGAGAGCTCGTCGTCCGACCAGCGTGCATGTAATTTAACATACAATACCTGAAATGAGTGACCGTAAAGGAAGCTGTCTCCTTAGTTGTTTTCGATCTAAGTGCGGCAGCCATGGTGAGAAGAACTTCCCCTGAAATTGACGACAGGGAAATTCAGGATGGGTTCCGATAGGATAAAAGATAAATCAACATGGAGGTTCAAAAATGGAAACTTACAATATGGTTTTGAGGAAAAACAGGATTTACTTTACGTGGGTTTCCTCCAGATGCCGTGATTATCATGCAGAGATAAGGAATTTCGGAAATGGAGGTCAACTGAAACAAGGATGAAGAACAGAAACACTGAAACAAAGAGGATAATTCATAAATAAAATATCCAATTGATAGTGATGAGTGCAGGGGCGTGCGTGAAGCTTCGGAAGAAATAGAAGAATATCTACCGAGCTTTGGAGGGTTAAATTGGGAAATTCAAGAAAAGGCCGCCGGAGGTAGCAGATAATAGCTGACTGAAAACGATGTCGTCTGGGACAAAGCAAATGGCAACCTCACAGGTTGTGGAGGATGAGTTTGGTGATGTTAAAATATCAAAGAACAAAATATTTTAAGACACAAATATCTGTACTTCTCCTTAAAAAAAGAAGTTGAATTTTCTGAAAAATAAAATGTAAAGTTTTGATCTTTTAATATCAAATGTATGATGGGTTTGATATTATATGCTTAGTTAGATTATAGACGTATAGATGTGTGTATATATATATATGACAATTTTTTATTTTCCTGTTATTCTGGGGAGGTACTAATCAAACTTTTTGATTAAGAAAAGATTTAAAAAGAAATCATTTTGTCTTCGTATGATTGGATTAAGGAACCAAAACATGAAAATGGGAAATTGAGGAAATTTTAGTCAAACTCTTGTTTCCACCAATGGAATTGACCCATCTGAATCTTTGAAAATGTTGAGAACTCATTTAATTTTTGAATGTATTTTGTTTTCATTTATCAAATTTGAACTATTTAATGAATAATTAAATCAAATTTACTTATATTTTTAATGTTATAACAGTATTATATGCTGCTTCTATTCCTCACAATTAAAATTTGAGTCAACTTCATCCCCAAGTTAAGATAATATATATGTATCTAGAAAAGGAAATATGTCTATAAGTAGATGTCAAGTTAAAGACCGCATAATTTGACTTTCTTCAAATTAGAAAGCAATAAATTTTTAGTCCCAATAGGTTTTGGAAAAATCTCAATAGGGCCAAAAGCATTATCCTAACCAACAAACTATATGGATAGCCCTAATTATTATCATTATGTTCATCATCGTTATCAACAACAACAACTAATGATCATAGAAATGGCAGTATGAAATTAAGAGCCTTTATCATCAACTAGTCAATAGTGGCTACCAGGCACTCCTGCTTTATAGACCTTAATAAACAAGATTTCCTCATCTAAGAAGATTACCAAGGAACCAATTCATAATCTAACAAACAGCAAGGAAAATCTCTAATTAGTCATCAAACAGAACCTAATAACACATATTTACAGCAACTAACTTCTACCAGGATTTGGCTATTTACACCTGAGAATAATCAGTAGCAATGGCTGCTTTCTGGCTTTCCTCGTCTCCTCTCGATGAACGCTGAGAATATTCAGTTGCAGTAGTTGCTTACAAACCGGCCTTCCTCGTCTTGTTTGGATGAGCAACGAGAATCTTCAGTTGCATTGGCTGCTCCCACGGCCATCTCATATCCTTTCCGCCTGAGAAATATTGGAAGCCCATATATCACATGGAAAAATAATAACAATGTTCCAGTATTTGTTCAAAAAAGAGCTTTTTGCCACCATAACAAGGCTTGTATCTTGGTCTGGTGGTTCGACCAGACCAGCTTTTTATGTTCGTGAAGTTTGATTGGTGTCTGAAAGCTCTAAAACCTACCGGGTTGTTGGAGGTTGGATTCATTACCAAGTCCTCTGTTTTTCTAAGAACGAGAAAAGTATTTTGTATATTAAAGCAAAAATAAACGATTTTATTTAAAAATATTATATATTAACCTCCCAGCAAATATACATTCCTTAATTATGCTTGAGCAAATGATATTTGCTATACTCTTTTCGACATCTTCATTCATCAAATATTTGTAGAACCAAAAGAATTTACGATTTCTTACCAAATAGTATGCCTGTTGTTATTCATCCAGACCTTAAGAATCGGCTTTTTAACTCCAATCTCAGCACAAAACTGATCCACGGCAGCTTCATTGTGATTATTGACCTTCCCCCTAATTTGCTCAGCAAACATGAGCATCTTTTCTTTCTGCTCTTGTGTAAACTTTGTCCCGGAACCTCTTGTCAATCCACTGCCATCATTGGTCAGGTTAGAAACAGATTTATCCTCCTTGTTGTAGACCCTGCCACCTGACTCCTCAAGGAAAGGTAAGGGCCTGTGTGGAGGCTGTGGTGTCTGATCCACGAGGCTGGTGGGACGTGGCACCCTGTAGTAAAGGCCAGAATTTTTGGTGATTTTTTCTGTTAATACATGTATAATCATATAAGACATGTAAACAACATATATAGTGCATACTAGATTGCAGCAAACCAAATTTAATAAATTCCATACCAGCCCTAAAATATTTCGGACTTAAAACTTTTGCCCAAGCCTAGCCAACTGTCTGACCATATGTGCTCAAGCCTCAGAAGGGTGGTCTGGGAGTGAAATCGTAAGTTGAGTTTAATTTGGCTCTGCTGGTAAAATGACTCTGGAGGTTATAAAGAAAATGAAGAGTTATTCGAGGAAGGTAGTGGCTGCAAAGTTTGGACTGCAGGCACATGATTGGTGTGCTAGTCTGATGGGGTTGTGTTGAGGAAGAAGATTAACAAGAGCAAGAATTATTCCTAAAATGTTTCAGGTGGTGTATTGGGTCGGGGCAAAGTGTGAGTTTTCTGAGGGATAAGTGGTTGGAAGGGGGGGCCCTGTGTATGTAGTTTCCGGCGATATATGATTTAGCCATGTACAAAGATGTCTTTGTGAAAAATCTGTACCTCGGGCATGGTTCTTGGACTACTGACCCAATGAGAAACCTTAATGAGTGAGAATTTGATGAATATCTGAGACTTCTCAATACCCTTTCAAAAGTGGCAATTTCTGAGGGGAAGGAGGGTGACCCTTTCCTGAGATTAAATTCGAGAGGATGCTCCTCAATCAAGTCTTGCTACGTTTTTTCTGACCAAGAGGGAGCGCTTGAATGAGAAAATCCCTTAGAGGATGTGGTGGAAGGTAAAGGGGAGTGGCTTTTTCTGTTTAAGCGACAGTCTTGGAGTGCATCCGCACCTTAGATAAATCGATTAGAAGAGGTAAAATTCTGGTTAACGGTTGATACCTGTGCAAGAGTTGGGCAAAATTGAGCAATCACATCATACTATGGTGTACCTTTGCTCAATGCCTTTGGTCCTTTGACATACAGCTTGCTGGGCTTGAGCTGGGTGGTAGGAAGCACTGTGAGCAAGGAATCTGGGCTTGGAAAGGCATTCAGATTGATAAGCAGTCTGTTACGCTCCTCTGGCACCTTTTGGGTCATTTGGAAAGAAAGGAATAGGTAGGATTTTGTGAGTACAGTTTCTAATTTCAATAGATTTAGAGGTTTATGGTTTTAGGCCCTGAATTTTTCTTTATCAAAGGTCAGCCACTTTACTCTAGCGAGGATTTAAGAGATCTTATAGATGTTTTGCCAAACCTGTAAATGTTTCATACATGGATTGCAACCCCTTGGTTCATTTAAAGATACACCCTTTCTTCAGAAAAAATTGCTTGAGCCCACAAAATTACAAGCCAAACTCATGGTTTTGGACACTAATGGGGTAATGGATAGTTTTACACCTCTCCATTGGTAATTTCAAGAGTTTGCACCTGGGAAGTGTTTTTCTAGACATTATCTATATGCCAAAACTTTTACAAGCATGACATGGAAAACAAATTTTGGGTGACAATAATGATGAATGATGACTAGTATGAGCACAATCACTGGATCAGTATCAGCTGAGCTGATGGTTGACACTGTCAGAGTTCCTTGTCAAAAAGTTTTCTTAAGCTCATATTTCTGGTCATCACAGGTCAACAGAACACAGCAGTACCCAAATTTTTCTATCCTTCTGTACATCCTCTTTCCCTTTACTGATAAGGCGGTGTGTACCTCGAAATCCATTAGCTGTACTGGTGTTTTCCATATGGTTTTATTAACAGGAAGCTTCTAAATAGCTCATATCTAACTTTTTTCTGCCAGCAGGACTAAAGGTAGAAACACTAGCATCCTATCACATTGATTCCTACTGTGCGCTGGTGTATGTGTATATATGTATAAGTACGCAGAGCACTGTTGTCAAGAGGTATACATCTGGGTCTGTAACTTGGTTTCATATGTTCAAACCCCTGAGAAAAACAAGAAAACTATAGGTGACAGTAAAGTCAGAAAAATCGGGCTTACTCATGTTTCATAATCAGATTTTTGGCTTCGGCGACGGCAGAACTTACAGCATATAGTGCCATTTTCTTCACCTATAAACAGAGAATGCATTGTAAGTGACATTTATAAAGAATATTGTATGATCATTCACACAATAGTACCTCATGTGTACCAGCAGAATGATAACTAGTGTTTCTTTCAGGAGAAAAAATTTAATAAAACGTTTTGAGAGCTGTTACGACGTATTATAACCAGCTAGAGATCCTCTTAGGTAACCTAGTATATCTACATACATGGAACTGTGTGCTAGGTGTTATAAAAAAAAGTTCAAGGACATATTTCTTTTCTGGATGAGAATCTAAAATATCATCCCATACACTTCAGGCGTAAACATATAAAATGAGAAACCATTCAAACATTAGAATTTATTGTTTTGGGTGCATCATATTTGATCAGGAAAGTAAGAGGCACTCAAAAAAGAAAGAATCAGCAGTCAGAGCAGGGGTTGCAAGAATGAGTCAATACCTCTAGTTTATCTTCCTTAGCTCTATGGTATCTAGGAAGCAAACGAAATTCCTCTGTCAACCGGATGCATTCTTCGACATTGTCAGGAGATACAAAATCAAGGGCCACTTTAATGCATGACTGGAGAAGAAAATGTGATAATGTTAGACAAGGTGTAACGTATTAATCAAGATTTTTGAAAACAAAAACTAGCTATTGCACAAACAAGTCAATGATAGTCTAGTTTCTTATTCTTGGTTGAATATTTACTTTATCTACAAAGCTAGACTATTTAAATTTGAAGTTTTACAAACAATAAGAAGAAGGTTAGATTCATACAATTCATCACCAAGGTTGAACTGAGATTTCCAAAAGAGCAATCCTTAAGATGAGATCGTGAACGAGTGTTGTGATGATCACTAGATTCTAACATTTATCAAAACCAATGTTCATTTCATTTGTAAGTAGCACCTTGACTCCTATTAGTACAGGGATATCATGTTAATGTTAAGTAACTGTATTGGAGGCAGAAATCTAGAGTTCGAAACTTGACTGCTGCCACATTTTTATTAATTAATGTAGCAGTCTTAGCATGAGCTTCTACTTGATCCACAACCTAGCGGGTTTGCAAGGAAGAAGTGTGTCAATGTATGAATAATTTTTTGAAATAGTGTTAATGTATGAATAAAGTACTGGAAATTTGGCATAACTCTATTATTTAACCATCAAACTTGTCAGAAACTTGACAATCTCTTTCCTGTTGCTTCTTATGAGAATATAACATGTTCTTTTTACTGGTATTGGTCATATACGTACTAAAAGGAACTTCTTATCCTAATCGAAAAAATTAAAAAGTGACACCAGGTTTTATACAGGATTAGGAAAGCAACAACCACATCAGTAGTGAAGGTATTGGACGAAATAATAAAAGATACCCAACCCACAATAAAAGCTTACTTGATGCATAAAATTTTCACCTGTCTATTTCTCACTTGATGAGGACATCCTGCAGGAATGAATACAGCCTCCCCAAGGCGTTGTTCAAATGTCCAAGGTTCAACATCTGAAAACATTAAAGCATCTTAAGTTATACATTAATATAAACAATTTTTCTCTGATGGAAATGCTTACTGAAGGTAACTAATTCCTTACCAAACTCCTCCTTCAGCTGCTTCTTATGTCTCTCGTTTAGATAAAGGGTCTGATCGTGAATAGGATGATAAACCTAAAGCAAGCACAAAACTAGACTTAAAATGATTAAACTCTAAATCAAATTAGCAGATTCATTTCCCAGGTAAAGATACGCACAACATTCACCGGAAGATTACTATTATGATGGAACTCGCTTTGGTGCTTCAATAAAAACTCAATCAGCTTGGGTACATCCTGCCTACGAAAAATATCCCAAACAGCACCACCATATGCCACATCTGAATTCTCCCTCCCCTGAATAAATTCCTTACCTTCATTCGTATCTAGCTTGACTGGCCCTAAATCACTTACTCCATATACATCTTTGCGTCTGCGACAGCGAAGTTTCATCCGAACAGGATGGTTGGTGTGCGCAGCAATATGATTATCGAAATTATTCATCCCTCCATCTAGACCTTCAATGGATTTCTCAGCCATATTAATGCTCAAACTTTTTAAGGAGGTACATGGCAGACCACAAGTAATCCCGTATGACTCTGTAACATCCAATTCCTTGGATTTAATTTGTTGTCCATCCAATTTCTCTTCCTCTAGCTGTACCTCAGTGAGCTTGGACACATCATGCTTACAAAAAGTATCCCAAACAGCACCACCAGATGCGACATCTGAATTGTCTTTCTCTAGAATAGATTCCATCTTTTCATTTGCATCTAGCTTGACTGACCCTATATTACTAACTCCATACTTATCTTTCTGTTCGTTACTACGAAGTTCCATTTTAGCATGATGCTTAATGGCAGTAGTAATGTGACTACCAAAACTCTCCATATCTCTATCTACTTCTCCAATATATTGTTGGTCATTATTAATGGTCGAACTTTCTAAGGAAGAAGAACATGGCAGACCACAGGTAATCTCATACGACTTCGGAATTCCCAATTCCTTGGATTTAGTTGGTTGTTCATCCAATTTCTTTTCCTCTCTCTGTTTATTTGATTTTCCAGAGTATTTGAAGTCCCTTCGTTTAACTTTATAAGCTCTTTTTCCTCGCTTCCTTCTGACTCTACCCAATGCCCTTCTTTTCCCAACAGAATGCTCACCCAAATCTCCAGCTTCATACTTTTTCTTTAATCTGTTTATAATTCTACGTTGCCATCGAGGAATCTTCACTTGGGTCATATGAGTCAGGACATTGACCTAAAAAGAAAAAGAAGAAATAGAAAAAAGAAATTGAGAGAAAGAATTTAAGAAGTTAGGAAAATACATCTCTATATCACATAATATAAGGAAGAAAGATTTTGAAAGATATAATGACAACAAGAGAAATTTAGAAAATATATTTTGTGTTCAGAAGATACATAATTGAAACATCAGGCAATCAGAAATGGACAAATGTTAGGTCAAAAGATGGGTATATGCCAGTGATTTCAATGATAATCTTGAATAAGAGCCAATAAAAATCAGCTCTATGTACTTCATGTGGTAACCTATTGTGCTCTTTAATCCTTTACATTCAAAAGCTGGCATAAGAATCTGGGAACAAAGTAGGACCTACTCTCTGAAATGAAAACTAAAATGCAAAGGAATAATTAACAACTGATGCGGATTTTTTTGTGGGAAGAAATATGGGTCAGCTATGGCAATTGATCATGGATCTAATAGAAGCTACTTTGACACAAAATTGTGTTTCGTTCTCTCATTAATATAAAGCAATATGTTCAATCTTAATCATAAAAAGAGACAAATCGTAAAGGAGAAACTTTTAATTTCTTAGGAAGTAGGAGAAGCTGCCCAAAACAGAAACCACAACAATCCAACTTCAAATTAAACTTTAGAACACCTGCCCTGTAGTTCGTCATCTGTGGTGTTGGTTTACAAAAGGCTGGGTATTAGCTGGGTTTGTTTGGGGTCTATTAAAGAAGAGATTTGGGCTTGGAAGCATCTCAGCAACTATTGTATCCTTGCTGACTTGATTTCCATTCCAATTATGTGGACTGAGTGGAAAGTTAGGAACAGTAGGGCCTTTGAGGGTCTCGATGAAACTAATGATTTTGATGTACTGAAGAATAGATGGCCTAGTACCCTTAATTTTTTGCTTACGGGCCATCCTCCGGTTTATTTTGAGACTTATAGGAAGATTACTGGAATGGAGGACTAAGCTGTAAATAATTGTACATGTTCTTTTGCACCCCTGGTGCTCATACTAATACTACTATTCTACTTTTCATTTTAAAAAAAACTTTAGAACACCTCAACCTTATCCATCACGTGATCTGCATTTAATTGTTCTAGTGGCTATAAACAAATGGTTCTTACTTAATTTGCGGAATAATTCAACAAAATGTTTCCTTTAACATGTTCTGCAACATAAGCTGGAAATCAAAAAAAAATCAAGAAGTATGCTATGCTCCCAATTAATATATGGGGTCCTTGGGATTTACTCCCAATTAAATATACTTGACACTTCTGGGCCTAAAGTTTCCAATTCCCTATGCCGTGTCCTTGAGTCTCACTGCCATTTAATAATCATAAATTCTACATAAGCATCTGCAACACATGTGCTTCATGATACATAAATTTGGCTTCCAGTAACTCCCTTTGGAAGGTTAAAGTTCCTTAAAGACGATAGGCTTCATTTGGGTTGCAGTACTAGACAGAACTAAATCACATGATTCTTTATAGATGCAAGAAGGAAGTCAAACCACCTCACCAGATATTTCTGCAACCTGTTGGTGGAGTTCCATAAGAAATATAACTTGTTCTTCCATTGTGAGAGCATGGTGGTTACGGTGTTACGTAGTAACTTTCACTTCTACATACAGGTTTGTCCTTCAAATTTGGAGGTTTTCCTTTCCATTTATATGAGGTGCGGGATGAGAAAAGGAGCTTAAGATTTTGCAGCATGCTACTTCCCTTATTATTCAGCTCTAAGGTTGGAGCATAATGATAAGATGCTCAGTCAATCCATTTAACCTCCTTACTTTATTTGGGTTTATGGTGCTCGTATACTCCTTGTGGCTAAAGCACATGGATGAGCCATAAATGGCGGGAAAACAATGTCAAGTTAATTAAATTAGGGCTTTTGAATGAGGAATAAAGAATCTTTTTCTGCAGTTTCCGTCTGTGATTAGCAGAGCCATTGTGTACAACATGAAAAAGTTGTTATGCAAGGCCTGGTAGTACAATGATTGTACCAGCCAGCTAGCACCAGCTACTATATAATCCTGAACCCTGTACCAGGATACCTACTGAAATGTAAGTATTATTCAGTCATCTTTCTCTCCAAATTCTCTGCTCTTTCCTAGTTCCCTTCTATTCTCTTCTTCCTCTTAACCCTCACTTTCTACCTACTGTTTTCCTTCCCCAAAAAGCCACTGTTATGAGGTCAGCTGAGTTACACATGAGCCAGTGCCCTGGCAGGATGCTTTAAGAATATGCCTATTTCTAGTTTGCAAAGGAATTGAGAAGCCCTTCCAGAGTGATACTTCTTCTAGTTTCCTTTGGATCTGTACCCAGTTTCTTTTCTCCTCAGGAGGATACATCATCCTCAAGCTTTGTATTCTATTTCTCTTCTTATTAAGAAAAATATGATAGCAGTAAAATTAAATGCACTTAGAAACATGTTTTACATGCGGTGGATAAATGCAACCTACTAAGAGCAAAAGGAGTGACCTAAACCTTGCAGAGACCGACGAAAGAAAATAATGCCTTGTTTCTTTCTAATAAGAAAAACTTAAAATCTAAAATCAAGCACTTATATCAACACTCCATACCGCATCAGAAATATCACAGTGCAGTTTTGTTACTGAATCACCTCTACCAAGCTCTTCTGTAGATCCATATGCGATGTACGTTTTAGGACCCAAATCTGGCTTCAGAACTTCAGGAAGCTTAGTTGCAAGATTCAGAAGGCCAGATTTTGGATGTGTATAATCCTTATAAGGAAGCATTGCAACAAATTCAGCACAATGTCTTGGCAAGCACTCTCCAAATGAATTAGATGGAGGCCAATCCTTCAGCTTCAACATCTCAGGCCAACCATTTTTGTACCAACGTCCCTCTATGTAACCCTTGAAGAATCGAAAAATATTGATTTCCACCTGCAGCACGAACAGGTTAAGCATGCTTGATTCACAGTTTAGTATTATGAGATATGAAAAATATAATCCAACTTCCTGCCAGTCTCTAATAACTGTATTCTTCTTGTAGTCTACTGATCAATTTGACATCCTCTGAAGTAAGAACTAGAGGACACAGAGATGTTGTTTTAATCAGCACATCCAGGAATATAGACTAGAGAGTTAGATCTTAAACTTCCAAATTACCAGTTTTGAACATAAAAATGTAGAAAGCATATCGAGAGCTCAAGAAACTAGTTGTGCACCATAACAAAGGGCAAGATTTCAATTGTTTTAGGATGAAATTCAGATTAAGACACAAAAGAGCACATACCTCACACCAATCCCAGCAATCTATGGCCTTAAACTTCTGTGCTTCTTCTTTCATTACCTTTCTTGCACCTCTGAAAGCCCTCCACATGACCATTGGGTCCCAACTAAGACCAGAAGCATTTTCGAGTACATTTCTAACTATGACAGGTTCCCCTCTCATCCAATGCATTTGAAAATGTTGGATATCCTTGCCTTCCAATTGAGTAGCATCCGGACAGTATAGAAAGTTATCATGACAGTTCTCTCTATAAGCTGCCCGTCTTGCACCAAAATCCTTTATTTCACTTCCTGCAGAACTGATAGAATCGCACAAAGGGCATCTTTCAGAAAAATCCAGCTTTGGTGAGTGATAATTGATAGTAAGTTCCTCTGCACTCTTAATCAGTCCATCAACCCAATAAGCATGAAAGATGCGTCTCAATGCGAGCTTCTCACTGCCGCAACCTCCCCATTCTTTTGGAGGACAAAGAATGCTACCATCAGAATCTGAACACCAATCTGAAAAAGTACATAACAAGTCACCTGCATCATTTTCTAGAAGAACAAGTTGCCTCTCCCAATCACAGCTTCCATAGACAGTTGGCAGGGATCAGCTTATGTACATCCATACCTTGACTATGTGCACTTTCAGCACGTTGTTGGTGAGAAGATTCTGCCTCATCACGTCCAGGATTAAGTCCTTTTCTTATCTCCCAACAGCAAGTGAGACAGAGATCATAAGAACAATTAGGATTTGTGCAGCTTCTATGGAAATTGACAATGGATGTTTTGCAATTGTCGCTGTCAAATGAGGATATTTTCAGTCAATTTTCTTACCAATGACAAATAACCCAACATCAAGGAGCTCAAAATGATACCAATACACTCTATCATCATCATCTAGCACAGATACGAGTATATCCTCTTCTCTCATCTGGACACCTATGAAAAAAGAAGAAAAACAGAAATCTGAAGTCAAAACCATTTGGCAAAGAAAGAAACTAAAACTTCTGACCAAAAAATTTAAGTTTTACAATACCACGTATGTTTTCTTCAACTGCTAATTCAGAGTTCTGCTCCTGCTGAATGTGCCGAAGGATAGGCAGCGTTTTGTGTAAGAGATGAATCAGCTTTCGTAACTGGACGTTTGTATCAACCTCTTCGTCCCCAGCCTGTCATAGCATTGGGATGAACAAGGCATGCTTACAAAGTTTTCACAAAAAATGAGTAAAGAGAAAGAGAATGCAAACCAGCACAACCACATCTTCCTTCAGGCATACTCTGCAATTGCAATTGCCCCGACAAAACGGGCAAGCAACCTCTATTTCCTCTCTTGTTTTCTCAGGGTACCTAATTCATTTTCCTTCAAGAAACAATTAGGACCAGTAGATGAAACCCAAATCAAATTTAGCAAAATGGAAACGGAAAAGGGATATTAACAAAAACATTAATTAGAAGTTCCTTTACTAACTAGATCAAACTCAACTTCCATTTTCTAAGTTCTGTGAATTGAATGGGATGCTACAATAATAAGAAACTGGTAGTGTATCAATGATCAAATAAATGCATTGAATTAATGGGGTTTCAGTATTTTATCTGAGCTTTTGACGATATATTATTACCATTTGGCAAGGCACTTGTAGCAATAGCGTTTCTTTTGGCAACTGGAGCAAATCACAACACCACTTTGATCAGTCCTCAAACACTGGTGGCACATCAAACCGCTTTGCTTCTTTTCCCAGCTGCTAAAATCCTAATAAGAAACCCACTCAAGCACTATAATATACTATCATAATCAATAGACATTCACAATTAGCAGTTCAAAGTACATGCATCTATTACTTCTTTTCTTCCCTTTAGAAGAACGGCTGAGGTTGTAAGGAAGATTTAACCAGAATAAAGAGAATGCAATAATGTTCTTTTATAGTTCAGCTGTCAATAATTTAAGTTTAACAAGCTTGTCAAAAAAACAAGAGTGAGGATTTTGCACAAACTCACAGAAAATCCTGAATTTTCTGATTCCTTGATGGACTTCTTTGGCCTTCCCCTACCTCTCTTCTGATGATTACCAAAATCAGCAGCAGTCTTGTCTTCCATATTGCCCCTAAGACCCCCATTTTGTCCCAAATGTTCTCCTCCTTTCTGTTCTATCTTAGTGTGGTGGATAGGAATTGCATTCTTCTGTACCAAAATCTTCTCTAAAGCCTGACCAATAAGAACTGTCCGCTGGTTCCTTGAAAATCTTGGTTGGCCCTGCTCATGCTTCTGCCTGCTTTGCTGCTCATCATTGCCCAATACTTCCCTATTTTTTTGGCTTTCCCCTTCTCGTCTATCCCCAGTTAACAACTTATCACATGAATGTGAGATGTCTTGTTTATCCTTTGACCAGAAATTTCCAGTTCCACCTTCATTATCACCTCCAGTTGGCTGATCATTCTCCCTTCTACCATCATTGGCACCAGGAGATCCTGTAGGTGTTTCATTATCTTCCTTACTTCCAAGATAATTCCTCTCATTCTCTAAATCCCCAAGCCTAAGAATCTTATCACCACAATGACTGCCAGGAAGCCACCAATTTGCATCACCAATCCTATTTTCACTAACACCATGTATTTTCCTTATGTTTTTCGAGCCCTTTGGCCTACCAGGCCTCCTCTTTGGCAACTTGTAGTCATTTCCCTCCCCACTAACACAGGATGTCTCCCTTGGCACTCCCTTATTTTCATCACCTACATG